AACTGCTTTGGGCCCCAGGCCAGTAGGGGCAACAGAGGGCTTACAAACTGTTTTTAAAAAATATATTTATTTTTGGGCTTTTTGGGCCTTTTATTGGAGCGATAGGACAGTGGCTAGAGTCGGAATTCAGGGAGAGAGAGCAGGGAATGACATGCGGGATGGTGGTCACACATCGGATTTGAACCTGGGCTGCCCACTTGGAGGAATAGGGGTTCCGTACATGGGGCGCACGCACTAACCACTGCCCCACCAGCTCCCCCAGGGCTCACAAACCTTTAACTGCAGCAGTAGGCTCAAATTGTGCAAAATTTGCAATGACAGTAGGATACCCCCTTAGAGGGCCCCATCTTACAGCACTCCTGTTGGAAACTTAAGTTTGTCCTTGAAAGTCGTCAAGGCCCCCCCCCCCCCCCCAACCCAGGCAATATTCAGGAAAATTCATTGGAACAAGTTGGCGTAGGGTGATGATGTTTCTATCTTTCAAATGGTGGGAAACTAGTTTGATCTTTGAACGCCTTCTTACTCCTCTTGTTGCTCCCCAGTATGTCCTTTTCCAGTCTGTCATCATAGCACAGCGCGGGGACGTTCTCACATGTGTGCAGGAGCAACTGAAGCGCCTTCAGGAGTGTTGTGCATGTATGAAAAGGGCTTCAGAAAGATTTAGGTTGCAGGCTGTCCCGTATTTTTTTCTGGAAATTTTCAGGGGTGCATGTGTAAAAAGGGCTTTAGGGTTTTCTTTCAGAGTGTTTGCTCTGTTTAATTAAACTCTGAATGGAGTGCAAGTGGAGAAATGAAAGTCTTGAAGGCAACATGGCCGCCCCTCTCTCTCTCTCCCTCTCTGTCATCTTTACTGCTCACCCCTCTGCTGTGGTAAAGCCTTTATTAAAATCTGTAATTAATGAGTGTAAAAGACTGCAGTTTAATTAAGTGGTTAACACACTCTCTCCCTCTCTCTCTCTCTCTCTCTCTCTCTCTCTCTCTCTCTCTCTCTCTCTCTCTCTCTCTCCACTCCCTCTCTGCAGAACCGGATGGAGGAGAGTAAAGCTCTGTTTAGGACAATAATCACGTACCCCTGGTTCCAAAACTCCTCCGTCATTCTGTTCCTCAACAAGAAGGACCTGCTGGAGGAGAAGATCATGTACTCTCATCTGGTCGACTACTTTCCAGAGTACGATGGTGAGAAACAGAAACAACTCTTACAGATACAAAAACGTACCTGATTCAGCCAGATGAACACTTTCTTTAAAGGGGACATATCATGAAAAATCCACTTGTACGGTGTATTTGAACATATGTTTGGGTAACCTGAGTGTCTACAGACCCACAAAATGTGAAATAAATCCATCCTGTCCTTTGTTTGTGGTCTGCATAAGTCTTACAACACAGAGACAAATGCTCCATTTCAAATGTGCTCTCCTTGTGATGTCACAGTGGGATTCTGGTAAAAAAAAAAAAAATCCCCTCCCCTCCCCTGGTATTTCCACCCATGGACTCCACCCCCAGCCTAGAACAAAACTTTTGCTCAGGTCCGCCATTTTTATTCTCTCTACAGAGGAGTGATGTCTACGGGGAAAACTCAGGGGGGGCTCATTACATTTAAAGAGACACACACACCAAAACGGAGCGTTCTGAGAGAGCTGGTTTATACAGGGTCACAAACCTCCTCTGGTGCTTGATTCATGTTATATTTTGACCAAAGCACAGCACAGATGTTTCATTTAGACCACAGGGGGACTGTTTGAAAAGGTGGAGGAGGGGAGAATATGTCCTTTTTAAAGTCTTATAGCCTTATATTGATGACTTGTTCGTATCTTGGTATGTCATGAAGAAAAATGTCATGGGCAGGCTGTCCGGAAATTTCTCGATATTCTAGATATTGTCAGGAGTTAATTTTTGAAAGGGGCATAATTTTGATATTTGCATAAATGTCATCATGCACATAACTGCACAACTCAACATCTCTTCTTTTGCACCTTTTCTGTTTATATTAAAACATTTTTAAGATCAACTGTTAGTGGAGGAGCAGCAGGTCGGACTGGAAGACCAGGTCACACACTTGCAGGACTTTAGCCCCCGTATTTGGGCACAACCTAACCACTAGGACTGCTGTTTCATAGCTTTTTATTTTGTTATTTCATATTTGTGTGATTGTTTTTCCACTGAAACATGAAGACATTTCTTTGTATTAAATGTATTTTATTAGTAAAGGACCATGTATAATATTAAACTTTAATGTTGCCATTTGATGCTTCTACCCAGAATCCTGCTTGGTATTAATCCTAATCCTGATTCTGATTCATCCTCCCTCCCCTGCAGGTCCTCAGAGGGATGCTCAGGCGGGACGAGAGTTTATCCTCAAGATGTTTGTGGACCTGAATCCCGACAGCGATAAGATCATCTACTCTCACTTCACCTGCGCCACCGACACGGAGAACATTCGCTTCGTCTTTGCCGCCGTCAAAGACACCATCCTGCAGCTCAACTTAAAGGAGTACAACCTGGTGTAGAGTGGAGCCACACACACGTACTGACACTATCTGTGAAGAGAAAGAACACACACACACACACACTCATATGAGATCAAATCAGAGAAGAAAAAAAAAACGTAGCGGTTGCAGAATATTAATTTATTTGCAAATTTTTGGTCCCCAAGGGGTTCACAAAAAAAAAGTTGTATATTGCTATTTAAGGAGATGAAATGTTAAGGAGGCGAGGCAGATATTTTGGAGGACTTTGCTGTTGAACATGTGCGTCAACAATCCTCATTTCTAAGGCTTTGCGCATTGTGAGGTTTTGCATTTTTTTTGTTGACATTTTTTGACAAAAAGAAAACGACTTTGTTCACTCGAGGTTATGGTGTGGAGAGAAATGTAACGAATGCAATGTGCTCCCCCTCTCTGCCTTTTTATACACATGAAAAAAAAGTCTCTTTGTGACAGAAAGGCCCTTTAGAACAGGCGTAAACTGAGATTTTCACCTTGATTTGGTATCAATTGACTTCCATCTTTCGTATTGCATTGCATTGACTTTGGTACCATGCGATGAGCTGAGCATGTCTCACCATGAAAGTACATTACGCCCGGCCTTTGTTTGTCATGTTTTGAGTGACAGACACGTGACAGTTCTGCAGCATTAACGTAAACATAAAGTGAACAAGTTTGAGAGAACCCGGCTTTAAAATGCTTTGAGCTCAGAGAGATGTAAGGCTGTCAAAATGTCCACTACTCAGATATTTCTTTGACACTTTTTTTGATAACACGTATTTCAAAATAAAACAATATCAGTTTTTTTAATGACCAATACTAGCAAAAAGTAAACAAACTTAAGAAAAACCTCCACACCTTCAGTCAAACTTTAACCAAAAGCTGCAGAGAACAAGATGGAATTCACAGGTCAGCAAATACTTCTACTTCCCCCGTAGTCCTTTTGGCCTCAATGATACATGAATGTCTCTTACAAACAAAAAGCAGAGGCGGTTTAAGGTCTAAATTGCAAACATTTTTCCGGCACAGAAACTCATCTGATGTTTTTGTGCAATTTATAGACGGTGTAGCTTTCAAGTTTTGGTGATTGAAATCAAGAAACCGCCTAATACTGGATGCCTCTGGAAGCCTCTATTTTTCGTTGCCATGGTATCCAAACGGGTATCGATATGGTTTGATTCTGACTTCGTCTCGATGTTTAAAAATTCTGGTATTGGGACAACCCGAGGATGCACATGCAGATCTGGGCTTGGTCACGTAAACCCTGATGGAGCTGTGGGCGTCTCACAGACTGGAGGGAGTAGAAGAGGTTATAATTTATGAGACAATGTTTTGTTCAACTGTGCCACATTAACGCTTTTTTTTAAGATGGTAACGTGTGTATTTATTGCCAATGCCAAAAACGACAGACGCTGTTTACAACTCCAATGAAAAGTGTTGACCGAGTTATTCCCGCAGTTTAAGACGTATTTAACAAAGTAAACAGTATCCTCCTCCAATCACAACGTCAGGCTTTGCTGCAGTGTCCAATCACAGCCTGGCCGTCTTGATTTATTGGAGAATAACTCAAACTAATTACCTTTAAGGGCAAAGTGTTGACATTCAGTGTGTACCAAAGTGAGCCCTTCTTGTCTCTGATTTAAAACTCTCACTTAAAGTATTTTTTTTCTAACTATTCCCAAGAACACAAGCCTGTAATTTACATTTTTTTGAGGCATAGTGCAATTATGAATGCTATAATCATTGTACATACATCTCTCTCTCTCTCTCTCTATATATATATATGGCAGCATCTTTGTTGGCTTTGTAATCATTACTTTTTTGGCAGATTGAATGTGCGGTATTGGAAATATGTATCTATGTAATTGTATTGTATGTCTAATGGCTAATTCATTTTTTGGAAGAAAGAAAAATGTTATTTACATGTTTGGTTTGGTTTCCTTTTCTTTAAGAGAAGATTGTAAGCTAAGAAAAAAATGTTGAGCCTCAGAAGTACATAAAGAGGAATATCATCAGGTAACACTTACAGTACTCGGCTTGTTTAGTTGACCTAAAGAAAAATAATGATATCAAATCATTCATTGCTGTAATGTGATCCTTAAAAGCAGGGTTGGTCATTTTCTAAAACTAGCATGATTTTGAAAGTAGCATTCCCTCAGTGCTCCGTCTGCACCCCCTCCCCCCTCTGTGCTCCCTCTAAAGCCACGCCCCCTCACTTACACGCACGAGTGCCGTTGTTCCACAAGCGGACCTCAGCTCATCTCTTGGATTGTGTAGAAACTACGTCGTCTCATGTCTCATGTAGCGGTACGTAAACTCACAGTATAAACTCCTAAAGTCATCGGTGACGAGCTTTGAGTGTTCGATAACGAGCAGGGAGACAGGGAGGCGTCTGATTGGTTCATCAGATTGGCGCCTTGTGGCAGACATTGGTCAAAGCTTTTACAGGCTTACAAGATGAACTGATACAGATGACGGATTTTCTTTGTTCCTTTTTCAGAGAACATGAGTTATTAACTTCTGTCAGGACCTAAAGACAACTTCAACCAAAATCTGAAAAAGTGGATCAGGAGAAAATGACTAACCCTGCCTTTAATGTCATCGCACAGCACCTCAGGGAATACTGATCAACTGCTATGTTTTAGATGACCCTGAGGAGGTTGGCGACACAGGCAGTGACCCACCACTAACTCCTAAATGAAAAATCACGACACACATTTCTGATATTTTTCAACCAATCAGATTATTTAATATAAAATTGTGCAGTTTGGACCTCAGGCGGAACAAAACACATGACAGAACAAAGGAACGAATCAAAACAATTAAAAATCAATTCAGACTTTTTGACTGCAAAAAAAAAAATTCCAGGCACATATTCATGGCCCACTGGAAAAGGTTCCTCAATCCACTTTTGAGTCCCGACCCAGAGGTTGAGAACCACTGGACTACGGACATCAAATAGTGGACATGAGGCATCCCAGTGAAGGACAGTGAGGCAGCAGATAAGTGTCTTCATCCTGAAACAAGATGCACCTGAAACTTACCAAGTGTATTTTACACAGAGAAAAAAAAAGAGTATATCCAGATAACTGCTTAATTTAATGTCCTTTCATAATGAAGTTTAACTTTTAAATGGTAATCTCAACAGAGATAAAGTTATCTTTTAACAGTAAAATACATTACACTGCAAAAACTCAACTTTTATCAAGTGCATTTGTCTAGTCTCTATCTTAAAACTTATTACTCCTATTTTAAGCCACATTTACCTCACAAGTCCTCATGAAAACATCTCATAAGATATAACAAGATTGATTGCTTGTTCTTGTTCTGAATTTAAAAAAAAAACATTATTGACTTGAGATGTAATGTCTGACTTCAAGAAACCTAAGTAAAATTTGTCAGCCCCATTGGCAAGTTTGTACTTATTACACGCATCTTATGCATGCCTTGTCTTTTTGCTTGTAATAATTCAAAATAAGATATAAGATAAGATCATGACTCTTCAGGTTAATGTGGCTAATAAAAAGAGCAATTCAATAATTTTGACTACAAATAAAATCAATACTTGCTAAGATTTTATTTTTTTGTAAGATTTATTTTTGGGCTTTTTGTGCCTTTAATGGAGAGATAGGACAGTGGATAGAGTTGGAAATCAGGGAGAGAGAGAGAGAGTAGGGAATGAAATGCGGAAAAGGAGCCACATGCTGGATTTGAAACTGGGCCGCCCACTTGGAGGACTACAGCCTCCATAAATGGGACGCGGCCACTAACCCCTGCGCTACCAGCGCCCCAAGATTCGAGTTTTTGCTGTAAATTAAGTCAGCATGAACCTCAAAGAACAATCCCTTAAAACACACCTGACATTAAAGTGTGAACACAGGTCTGACAGTGTCACTCTTGTCCTCCAGAGTCCAGGTGGAGGTGAAAGTGCTTCCAGCTGTCTTATTCATTCAGTTTGGTTTCTTTCGAGATTAAAATAATCAAATGAAGCATTTATTTATAAAACTTAAAGTGACTTCATCAATGCTGCTCACGTTTTGAACATCTGGCTTTCAGTGTGAAGATACAGAGTCTATGATTCATTCATCCACTCTTTGTTGACCTTTCCGCCACCTAGTGGCCGTTTGGAGATATGCATGTTGTAGGATGCTTTACTTCCCTTTTCCTGATGGGAGGATGTTCCGCAGAGGTCCTGAACTTTTTTAACATACATTCATAATGGAGAAACTTGCACTGAAAGCCTAAAATACGCACCAGCATCCAAGGCATGCCTTAATTCTGTTTGCAGAGTCAGTTTGCTGAACGATCCTGGCGCGCATATTCCAAAAATAGACCGAAATAATTACGGAAGATCCATTAACACAGAACAGAACTCGCTTTTTCATAATTGACAGCACACGTATTTTCATCTGTCTACAATTTCTACCACTATTTTCTCAAATCCAACACCTTTTCTCCTTTTGTCTCTTTTCATAATGCCTCATGCTAAATCCCCACGGTGTGTGTGTGTGTGTGTGTGTGTGTGCTGTGGATGATAGCTGCTCCCTTTTTATCCTCTTCTATTTGCGGCTTGTGCCACGCCCTCCACACTCCGCTGGATAAAGTTCAACAAGTGTCATCCAGCTCCAGTCCAACCGCAGCAACCTTAACAAAGAAGGACAGAGCACTTATTCCTAGAAACAAAAAAAAACAACCATCCCTGGACTGCATCCATAGTCTGTTTTATCCGCAGAATAATAATAAACTAATAACTTGTTTAGACTTCAGAGGAAGGAGAACAAGGCTTCACCTTTAAAGATGCTGTGCGCCTTTTCCGTCTGAATTTTGTAAAGTAAGAAACAAGAGGAGGCTTTTGCTTACAAACTCTTCACGTTAGCGGCAAGACATTGGAGACAGTTTGTATGATGGCTGGGTGTTGTATCTCTGCGGAGGACAAGGAGAACCAGAGGATCAACGAGGAGATCGAGAAGCAGCTGCGGAGAGACAAGAAGGATTCCCGCAGGGAGCTGAAGCTGCTGCTGTTAGGTGAGCATCTCTGAGCCTGCATGGGAGACCCAGTTTATCCCTCAAACACTTGTTTTGTGTCCCTCAGAGTAGGTGGCACTCTCCTGGGTCGCCAAAATGCCACCAAATAAGTCACCAGTGAAGTTATTCCACTGCTTCCGATCCAACACCTGGACGTGCAGGTATCATGACAAGTGGGGCAGCACTCTGTAATCTGTAGACGTAGCTGCTTTTGAATGATTAAATATTAAGGACTGGGCTGAATTGATGTGACTGTGCGTTAATAATGGCAGTAACTAAGAGTGTGAGGAGGTTTCATATCTATTTGTTTTTTCTACGTTTCCTTCTCCTCGCTCCTCCGGATGTGGTGCAGCGCGCACTGGCTGTGCCAAAACATCCAGGATGTAGTGCGCCATAGAGTTTAGGCAACTCTTTAAGACCTTGATTAAACTTCAAACAGGGCTCAATTTCAGTTTCACACTGTCAGTTTCACACTTTCAAACAGCTGTTTATCTTTACTGTTTATGAAAGAGACATTTTGACAGTTTGGGCGTTTGCTCGTTTCCAGTCAAAGTGCTGCCTGTTTATTTCTAGTTAAGTCCTCTAGGATGTGTGCTGGGACATTTGTGATTGCTCCATGATGAAGTGGAAATATGTTGGGTGTTTTCTCACCCTCTGTGCCTTTCAACCTCCTGACTTATCTGAGACTTTTGTAAAGGCGAGTGGAGGTGAGAGAAAAAGCAGTGAGGTGGAAAAATCAGAGTCAGAAGAGATGACCTGCCTCACAGTCAGATAGATGAGCCCAAATACATCCGAACAAATAGAAAATGAATACATTCAGAGATCTAGCTTTGAATAAGTAATACACTCTCAAATAAAAGCTAGAACTAAGGTTGACAAAACTGTTGATACTTTCGATAGCACATGTTTTATTGCGATACAATCATGTGACTTTAATGATCACTTGTATTAAAAAGTAACATTTATACAAAAAGCATATTTTTCATTAGACATATACGCATAAGAGGAATGAACCCATCATTTAAACCAGAAATTACATCATATTCGGTGCCTTGGACTTCTGTTTTTGTTTATTTTTGTTGCCGTGGTATCAAAACTGGTATCGATATAGCTTGATATTTCTTTACTAGTATCATGTCAACGTTTAACATTCTGGTATTGTGACAATCCTAGCTTAAACTGAAGTCTATTCAAATTAAAGTCAAGTTCAAATTTACTTTATTGGCATGAACAAATCAGTGGTGTTGTTGCCAAAACAATAAAAACAATGAAATTACTATAAACATAGATCATACAGACAGTACTTATTGAAATGTTAAGATTGTTAAGAGGTTGAGGTGTGAGTATGATAGTGATGCTTAAACGTTAAACGTTTTGTCGACATGTCAGATAGTAGGATTCTAGCTCAGTAAGTGCTTCTAACCACTGAATTTTATTTATCATGTGTTCGCTTGCTTTGAGAACACTGACAGATCCTGAGTGGATGGAAACAGGGTGTAGAGCATGACTTCCTCTGTGCTCTGGAGGATACAAATGATTTCCCTGCAGCAGTGTAGGAGCACCTCAGGCACAGTTTCATTGTCCAGGCCTCAGCCCGTGGCGCGTTGGCAAAGCCATAACTAGCTGCTGCGGGCGCACCTCATGCAAACTTCATGCAAATATACTCCTGTGCAGGATGCGAGCTGTCGAGGCGCCTCTGCCCGCCCTCCTAGAAAGATCTTTCTTTCACAGCTCAGTGTCGTAAATTCATTACAAATCCAAGTTTACTGTTTTAATACTCCAACATATCAAGGATGGAAGTGTGGTCTGTAGTAAAGTACATTCTTCACTGCTGCCGGCTATGAACACACAAGTGGAAGAGCTTTCTGCACAGTTTATGAGGATTTAAACAACAGGAACTTATTTGTCTGTTAGTGGTTAAACAGAGTCTGATGGTCTGACTGGTTTTACAGGTCACCAAGAATGTTGACTAAATAAATTATGATAACTCGCTCAGAAGTCAGACTTTGATTTTATTAATTTGCAGAACGTTGAATCATGTGCAGCCATGCTAATATACGGAAGCTCAAAAAGGACATGCATTTATATATCTCCATTTTCCATTCGGTAGCAAGAACATTTTGGGTTTGCGTCTCGAAATCGTGAGATTTTGCTCCTGATTTTTTTCAGGTGATGAGTTAATTTCAGCTGTTTTCTACGAAGGTGGATTAGGGCCATGTTAAAAAATATTTTTTTTAATTTCTAGGTTAAACTCGTAAATTTACGGGAATAATCTCATAAATTTTACGAGTTCGCGCGAAAATGATGAAAGTAGAAAATGATGATAGTAGAAAATGATGATAGTAGAGTCTTTTCCTCTTCAGACAACTTCCTCCAAGTCAGTGTGCTTCTTTCTTTGGAAAAGCCACAGTTTCTTGCAGTATCTTTTCAGGTTCCTGATATTTTATCACAATTAGAAGATGATGTGCCAAAAGCATGTGAAGTTTCATATTTGCAAAAGTAAAGCCCCAACACCACTATTTTTGTCTGTTGCACACTGCCTTGTTAAAGTGTCTTGTGCAGAGCCAGTTTAATCTCAAAATTTAAAAGAAATATATTTTTTTAACACAGCACTAATCCTCCTTCGTAGTTTTCTGAGAGAGCTCAAGGAATTAGCTCGTTATCAACGGGAAAAATTAAACATTTTGTGTCCACTTGGGGATTCCAGACTAAGGACTATTTCTATTCAAATTATGAATTATGTTTGGTGACTCTTGTTTTCTAGCAACTTAAGACTTTTTAAGAAAGAAAAAAGTGTGACATAAACGGCAGGCCAAGCTGACAACATACGGTACTATAATGATGCGGGGGAGTGGGATGCTATTGCGGACGGTTACCCTAGAGGGGGTTTAATTGGAGAGGGGAAAAGAACCAAAATATTACTGGCCAAAGAAATAGGCTCCATTTTCAAAATAGCCTTGAGATAAGGTGAAAAAAACAAAAAACACCACTGCCGAGCAACTCATAAAAAAAGATTCAAGTGAAGAACAAAGAAACTCACTACAGCTGAGACCCAAAGGCCACCAGGCCCGTGTTTAATAGAAACAAAAAGGCTCGGTCAAAAACGTCCCAGCACCAACAAACTACACCTGTAGAGCTGCTGTAAATAGCAAGCAAATCGAGGGGTGCGTATGCAGAATTACACAAGAAACACAGATAGAACCACCATTGTGAGACAATTAGTCAGCACACAGAACTGCAATTCCAGGGAAAATACAAAAATAACACACCTAGTCAAAATCAGGGCCAATCAGTCACACACACACCTGACACTGCACTGAGATGATTACCTCACCACACTCACACCCTCACACATAATTTATTTAACTCTGTCATCTCGTGATATCTACTAACCTAAGGTTGTTAAGTTGATAAAGCAACGCTGGTTTTCCTGAGATAAGGAGTTCATTTCTTGAGATCTCCAGAATACAAAGAAATGTCCAGATCTTAAGAAAACAACTGAAACGTACTCATTATCAAAGAGTTAAACGAACTGTATGCATGTTCCCTTAGGGCTTTCTTAGACATACATCCAGACTGTAAAACGTATTTAACAATCTGTAATCGTCGACGTCTGTCAGAGCTGTTTAACGTTGATTTAATTACCTGGTCAGAGTGTCTCAGCGCTCTCTGTAGATTTCATTATGACGGCCACAGTCAGGTCTCCAGAGAGGACGAGGAAGGAGAACAGAAAATCAACACACACAGATTCTTTCTCCTCTATCCATTCAGACTGTACCTGAAATACTAACATTACACAAGTATAAAAATCCTTTACAGTACAGCACAGTAAATTTAGATTTTGTACTCAGCATTATTTGATTTAATGGTAAAAATATATACTTAAATTGTGTACTGTGTTTGTTCAGGAAAAGGAAAGTAAATATTTGACATGGCGCACTCTTTCTATAAGATTCAAGACACTTCAGATCGCCGGAGTGATTACATTTAAATAGTCATTTGGATGACTTGTTTGATGGTTTACACTTTATTGTGTTAGAGCACAGGGACAATTTCTGCTGTGTGTCTCGAGATGTGATTTTTGGTTCAAAACGCCGAGCCCTACAGAAGGTCCTCTGTTTGAAAAAGTTGTAAAAAGTAAATACAAATCTGAGTGCTTTTGACATCACTAAAGGATTATTTAAAGCATCCACAAAAATGTCCCGTTGGTCAGCCGGTCCCCCTTTGTCGAAATGTAACCAAGCTAATGTCCCCTGTTTGATGGATACATAAGTACACACACAAACACACACAGAGATAGCCACTATCAGTCGACATTATACATTTAAACACACACCTACAGATTCAACCACATTTACAAACTCACAGCTGTACTTCCTGGTGTTCTGAGGTGGAGAAAGTGGTGTGAATGTTACAGAGATAAGAACCGTGTGGCAAAGACAGGTAGCAGCACAGGTAACAAGGTTTCTGCCAAACAGATAGAACCACATCATAAGACACATGAATACATTGAAAGACATGAAGTAAGTAAAACAGCAAATATTTGTGAAGATTGACCACAATCATAAATACCTCTGGCTTCCGCCCCAAATTCATCCTCTTAAAATCCTCCAATGAGAGCAGAGAACGTCCCTGTGTTTAAATCTGTTTGGACAAGAACAACACGAACAACAAACAGTGACGGCTGAGGGATATAAAAAAATTAACATTCATCATCCACATGGACACACTGCATCATATTCATATAAGTTGGGATGTGAACAAAGTCCTGCGCTAATAATTATTATTTTATTGTTGTTGTTAAATGAGCACTCACAATAATGTCTCCGCTTTAGCCGACTGATGAAGCTCAAGCAAGCTATCAGCTAACTTTTAGGTTAAAAGAAAGTTACTTGGGATTCATTTTGTAAATACAGACATTATTTAAAATTTGGGAACAGCAGATTAACAAAAACTTTGACTTACTGCTAATTTGCATTCTTTTAATGTTGATAGATTATCACTCTTATCATACATTGCCCAGATAAACTACAATTTATATATCTACAATAAAGTGATTCATTTTGCAATTCCATACGTATGGGAGATGTCAGACTACAACATGTTGTTTAATGACTGAGCAGAGCTTTCCATAACAGAGGTTGTTTAATGTACGTGTGAAACAGGTTGATTGGCCCTTTAAGCATTCAACATACTTGTTAAACTCAAATATTACATATTTTTCAGGTAGTGCAAAATGCTTTCTAAAGTTTTTTTATTGGTTGGAGCGTCTTGTGACAACTGATAAAGACTTTTAAATTTAAATGTAGTCACTCAGGAAGTATGATTGGCTAAAATAACTCAAGTTAACCCTTCAACCGAGCAGTTCAGTTTTGTTATGAGTCAGTAGCACAATAAGGTAAAATTTGTAGAGCAAGTTGTACGCAATACTTTTTCCTTGTGTGGAGCATATTTGTGTTTTACTTTTCATAATGGAAATAGGTTGATTAATCAATTATTTACATCCAAACTTCAAAGTATCAATAAGGATATTATCTTTAGTCAGCGTGGGCTCTTTCTGTGTGTAACTAATAAACAGTGCAGAAGAAATTAAACACAAAAAAAACTCCAATGTTCAGCTGCTGAATTCTCGTTTTTCAATCCTCATATATTATCTGGAGTTTTGGCAAAATGACTCTGCCACAGTGATAAGAAAGTGATGCCTCTTGGATCATTTAAGTCCGACTCTCAGCAGACCTTCAGGATCATGATTTCCTCCGGTCCCAGAGCTTTTCTTCATTTCTTGCCCCGCTCATCTGAAAGAAACTTGACTTGTAAACAAGGTGCATTCAAATGCAGAAGATTTGTCTAAGCCTTGTGTGCTAAGATGTAAAGATTTAAGTATTTGTGCTGCCATGCAAAGCAGCCAGGAAGCTAGGAAAGTTCTGCAGGCTCCTCACACCACTCTGCTGAGACACACACACACACACACACACACACACACACACACACACACACACACACACACACACACACACACACACACACACACACACACACACACACACACACACCTTCACATGCATGCTGAGAGCCCCAACACACAAGCACGCCATCTTTCAATCTTCAGATTTGTTTAACAAATGATTTGACATCATGTGGTCTGAAGGAGAAAAGCAGGAGCTTGAGCTGGAAGAAGTGGAGAGGAACCTGACTCAGAGACACTGTGTGTGTGTCAAGATTTTATAGATTTGAATCTTTCATCAGTTTTTTATTTTCTCTTTTTCCCTTTGTCATGACAGTTCTGATGTTGTGTTTGAAGCACATTTTTAATTGCCTGGTTGCTGAAATTTGCTGCATAAATAAACTTGTCTTGACTTAGAATGTTGGTTTGATATTTTAGTTTTGCTATATTTGGAAAATGCTTGGTATGAGTTTAGTTTTATTAGAAGTCAGTGTTTTTTTGTTTTTTTTTGTAATATGGATAAAGGACGAGACCCAAACTAGCAGGAAAAGTATTGTTAAATAAAAACTCTAAACATCATATAATTTAAATAATGCATTCAAATACAAAAATAGAACTTACTTAATTCAATTAACAATATATAACTCTGACATGTAGTGTTTAAAATTTGTACCGCAGGCTAAATTCCAAACATTGTAGAGAGCTGTCTCTCCCTGCCTTCCCAGAGTCGATGCTCACCATGTGGTGGACTCTGAAGCTTCAGTGTTTATCCAGCTCTGCATCGGTCTGTAAACCTTTCTGCGTTCTAACCTCGCTCCATTTTTTCAAAAGCATCTCCAATATTGATCCTAGTTTGAGCACGTTTCTGCTCGTGGAGCTTATTATAAACATGCAGCTGTTGGTTTGCTGTTTGCCTGAAAAACAGAGGAGCGTCTAAAACGGCCGTGTGGTGGTGCCGTAAAACCGCCTTTTTCTCTGGTCCAAACAAAAAACATTCAGGACCAGAATCTAAACTCAGAAGGAGGACATACTGGCTGCTGCATTGTTTACAGAGAAGCCAGCACTTAAGAAGAAACTGTATTTTGATAGAGCTGTCGGAGAACTGTAACTTCATTTACTGTTTTTTACCCAAATCCATTTTTATTATTCGCACTTAACCCTGACTATTTCCAACAGGTACTGGAGAGAGCGGAAAGAGTACCTTCATCAAACAGATGAGGATCATCCACGGAGGAGGATACACAGATGAGGACAAGAGGAGCTACGCCAAACTGGTCTACCAGAACATCTACACATCCATGCAGGCCATGGTCCGAGCCATGGAGGCACTTGAAATAGCCTTTGAAGAACCCAACAACCAGGTACACACTGAGGCACACTGGGTCTGATACTTGTGCAATCAGGAGTTATTTTTACACCTGCACAAACTCCCCAAAAAATTCCCAGAAGTGTGCACACTGCATATGTTTACAAAATTTTCATATTTAAATCACGGTGTGGGACAAGTGCAATATTTGTGTATGTAATATGGCCGCTTCAAACTCTTTACTGTTCTTTTGTTGATGCTGTGAAATGTCTAGTTACACATAGCGTTCAAGGGTCATCATAGTGTGAACAGGTCTAGTGACAGCTTATTTCTACTTGCCTCCCACAAGTATGGCGTTCTTCTTTTCCTCAGACATCAGCAATGCCCCATCTTTGGACTCATTCAAAAACACCAACTGTTCTCCACAGCCTTAACTCTGCCTCTCAATCGGTCTCCCATACTTTTGCTATACCTGTCTCAGTTTTTTTTAGTTCTTTGTTTGGTCCCTCCACCATGCGAATCATCCTTGGGTCATTATTTATGATTTGGTCAACAGGGATCTAGATAATATGTGACTCTGGGAAAGGCTAAACATGCTTATTAATATAAAAATAATTCAATCAAGAGTTGGTCCATGGACTGTGAGTTATACCAAAATAAATCACAGTTTGATGGACGGCTTGCCTCCCCCCACCCCCTTGCTCCCTATCCCTCTTCCTGCATCTTATCCCATCTCTCCCCCTATCCCTTTCCAGCCCTGGTGCAGTCTAGGCCTGTGAAGGCTGTTTCATCATGACCCGGGGATCCGGCTGAAGATTTCTGCCTTTTAATAAGGCAGTTTTTTCTTACCACTGTAACTTTTGCTGCTTTGCTAAAGTGCTCATGATGGATAGGCCGGATCTTTGTAATTTAGCAATAAGGTCTTTTACCTGCTTTTTGTAACATAACAATGAGTAAGGTATTTTACCTGCTTTTTGTAACAAATAAAAATTGATTGATTGAGTTTAAATCAGGTAAGGTTTCAAGTATGATCCACATAGTACCACGGTGTAAATCAGTCCCCTGGTTCTCTTTATGAATCTGACATGCTGACTAAACAGATACTCCATTTGTTTTTTTTGTGTGTCTGTGCATCATTCATAGAGCAATGCAAGCTCCGTCCTGGAGGTGGAGGTGGATAAGGTGGAGGAGATGGATCAAAGCCTGGCAGCAGCAGTGGGGAGTCTGTGGAACGACAAAGGGATACAGGAGTGCTATGAGCGACGCAGAGAGTACCAGCTGTCGGATTCCACCAAATAGTGAGCATATCACACAACACTCTGTTATTAATATGCAATAAATATGAAGCAGGTTGATTCAACAATGTCCTTACATAAGCTTAATGAATTTATTAAAAGCTTTATATGTGATTTTTTGATCCAGCAGATGTCGCCCTTGAGCACCAGCATGAAACCAAAACAACTTGCGCTGCATTGTTGTGTTAGCATGCTAATGCTAGTGATCTTTATTCTGCTCGTATCTTCACACTGCATGTAAATTTACCTGAAATGAGCGTGATCTAGAAACACAGTTAAGCAGTGAGTACAGTATGTTATTCTTCTTTTCTCTAGTCCCTTAATTAAACAACTTTTATACACGAGGGGAGGAGTCAGCCGGCCGTCCGGGCGATGTAAACAAAGTGAAGATAGGACTCTGAAAACATCACAGACAGTGGGACTCGGGTGTTACACCCATTGTAGACAGTCATGACTCACAGAGTTATTTTCAGAGGATATACTTGATTTATATTATATTTAAGTGTGAAAAATCACATATAAAGACTTTAAGCTTTGGAACAAATTGGAACTGTAGCCTCCATAAGAGACAACAAGCCTCGTTGCTGAAAAGAGAGACTATTTTTCTGGCTCATAGTTGCTTCTTCTTTTAAAAAAAAACAAACTGTGCTAATGATATCTACTGTACATTCTTCAGCTATCTTACTGACCTGGAACGAATTGCACAACCATCTTACATACCTGACCTGCAGGACATCCTCAGAGTCCGAGTGCCGACCACGGGTATCATCGAATACCCGTTTGACATGGAGAACGTCATCTTCAGGTGAAGTGTAACATCATGCATGTTGTACGTCGTCATTTGCTCTGAAATGGTCGTAATCCCGTCAGAATTCTGCAGAACTTGAGTCCATCGTTGGAATATCGATTCTGACAACCGGATACGCAATAGACGGACATTTTGATGTTGGTGGTAGTTTGCTAGTAGTTATGCTTGCTAACTTAACTCGTTGGTCGGATTGAACCTAGCAATGTGTTACTTCCGTTTCCAAGATGCGCGTGCAGATTTTTAATACCCCTGGCTTTAAAGGGATGTATTAGAACTGGCCATTCAACATGTAAACCCGCCTTTTTTGTAAAGTCTTGAGATAACATTTGTGTTGTGAATTGGCGCGAGTGATTGGTAAAAATGGATGTCTCACATGTGACTTTTGACTTTGCATACCTTCACTGATGTTGTTGTGATTGGCTCTTTTGGCAGGATGGTGGATGTGGGGGGTCAGAGGTCAGAGAGGAGGAAGTGGATCCACTGCTTCGAGAACGTCACCTCCATCATCTTCCTGGTGGCGCTCAGCGAGTACGACCAGGTCCTGGCCGAGTGTGACAACGAGGTGAGGATTCAGCTCATCATCAGATCAGATCAACCAGGCTTAAATCCCCTATGAAATAAAATAAAAACAATCATCTTTATTTATGCTGCGCCTTCATTCCTAGAACCGTATGGAGGAGAGCAAAGCCCTGTTCAAAACCATCATAACTTACCCGTGGTTCCAGCGCTCCTCCGTCATACTTTTCCTCAACAAGACCGACATCCTCAAGGAGAAGATTGTGCACTCTCATTTATCCAGTTACTTCCCAGAGTTCACTGGTTAGTATGTTTGTTTGAAAAATCCACATTTTGGGTCGTCAGCAGCTGTTAATTGTTCTTAGATACGCTGTCTAATTATGAGAAATCAGCATTGAACATTTTAAAACTTGTCCATACACACACACTGGTGAGATTTCTTTGCATTTCATTTTAATGACACAAAACTACCCGAGCTTTTGTATGAACTCAATTAAATCTGCATTTAAGATTCAGACTCAAACAAGGTAAGCACTTTGTCATTGGCTCTCATTCATACAATCACCACTAGAAGAAGTCTTAGCAGGACGTCAGATCAGGGATTAACTTTTGATGTAACACTAATTTGGCTTCTAATGAGGGTATTAATGACTAAATTCAGACCAAAGCAGTTATATTAATTTGGCAATTTGACTGAACTATAGCCTACATTTTGGGAGGATTTACTGCAGGACTATGGCATTATTTTTGCGAGGTCAGTTGAACCTACAAAAAATCTGGCAACAGAAAAGTATGTGGTAAGTGCAGAAAATCTGGTATACAGTTTAAATGTCTTTCTAAATAATTGGAAAAAGACTAGGGCGACGGTAGCCTAGTGGTTGGTGTGTGTGCCCCATGAAATGGTAAATGGACTTGAGCTTGTATAGCCCTAACTTTCTGGTTGAGAGACAACCGACTACCAACTGAGCCACAGCTGCCCCATGAACCAAGTAAAAAACCTGGACAAAGACAAGACGCTGTACCCTAATTTCACCATGAGCGGAGGCTGTCGTCCTTCAAACGGATCGCCCCGGTTCCTATTCGACCTGTGGCTCCCTTCCTGAGTAGTTCGCCTCTCTCTCTCCCTGAATTCCAACTTTATCCATTGTCCTTTATCCATTGAAGGCAGTTTTTTCTTACCACTGTAACTTTTGCTGCTTTGCTAAAGTGCTCACGATGGATAGGCCGGGTCTTTGTAATACAACAATAAGTAAGGTCTTTTACCTGCTTTTTGTAACATAACAATGAGTAAGGTCTTTTTACCTGCTCTTTTGTAATGTTAACAGACAAAGAGTAAGGTATTTTACCTGCTTTTTGTAAAGTGTCTTGAGATAACACTTGTTATGAGTTGACGCTATACAAATAAATTGAATTGAATTGTCCTATTTCTTCTAATGAGAATAAAAAAATAAATCTTCAAAAAATAAAAAACATTGGAAAAAGAAGTTATTTCATAGTTCCTTGTGCACTTAGAACCACTTTTAAGTCTAGTACGGCTTTGTGTTTGCTACATAAATATAATTGAAAGTGTTTTTTTCCGCAAAAGATGCTGAAAAATGATCTCACTCTCAATTTCAGGACCTCAGCAGGATCCCACAGCAGCTCAAGAATTCATCCTGAAAATGTACCAAGAACAAAACCCGGACAAAGACAAGACGCTGTACCCTCACTTCACCTGCGCCACGGACACAGAAAACATCCGCTTCGTCTTCGTGGCCGTCAAAGACACCATCCTCAGACACAACCTGAAGGAGTTCAACCTGGTGTGAAGAGGGAGCAACATAGAACAATTAGATTTTTACTCAGTTCTTTATTCTTGTAGCAGTTAACAGATTATTTAGCTCAGTGGTTGAACATTTTAATATTCTGTGCTGTAAAAAATCTGGTTGAAGACAAAATGTGCCTGTTACTAAACTGCTGTCTGTGAATGGTTTGTTATTAGTTTCCATTTCAGCCTATGTAGATGCAAGAAGAGGAGGCTTTGAAATATAGACTGGAGTATGAAACGTTTTATTATTATTATTAGCTACTTCGTGGGCTACTCATTAAATAACTTTTTAGAAACACACATTATCTTGCGTATCACACGGCTAATTATTTGGGATAACAAACATTTGAAACTAATTATTTCTTCAGCTTCTGTATCCAGTGTCCATAGCAACGGTTATCTACCCAACTCTGTAGCCTTCATAAAGTGCGCTAAAGTAGCTTTCGTTGCTCACATTAAACGGAACTTTTCCACTCATAGTGAAGTGAGACGAGGGGAACAGGTCATGAATCAGCTCTACTAGCTGTATGACTTTTTCTGCATTGTCATGCCTGTGTCATTTGGCATTTTATTTTCCCTTTACCAGTCTTCAAACATAGTTATATCTGTGACGGAGGATTAGGGCCACGTTAAAAAAAATAAAGAAATTTACGACTTTAATCTCGTAAATTTACGACTTTAATCTCGTAAATGTACAACTTTAATCTCGAAATTTAAAAACATAAACCAACATATTTTTTTTACGTGGCCTAATCCTCCTTCGTATTGTATCCCATAGCAAGTTCCATGGCGTGTTTATTTGCTACTTTTAGTTTTTTAGATTTCTCTGTCGGAGCTCATAGTTTGCATTGTTGAACCCCTTTCCTGTGTTGTTATCCTCTCCTTTCTCTTTTCTCACACTGTAAAAAAAAAAAAACACCAACGTCAAAATCAACCGGACTTCTTTCCGCATATTGATATGATTACCTCCAGATTCTGTGATTAGAGGAGCGTCCATAGCAACAGCGTGCTTTTCTTAGCAACAGTTTGGTGATCAATCGAGGGATAGCAGACCACAGCTTTACATAATCGGCCATTCAGAATCAAATATTCAACACAGCCGTGTAATAAGCCTAATGTAACATTCAGGGAAAAGTTTGTCCTGAATTTTGTTATTTAAAATTTTTAAGAAAATCATTTTTATTTACTCGGGAAAGTGACAGCTGAGTGGTGACCTTGTTTTGGATGTAAATATTAAAACTTGTGCGTTTAAAAAAAGCCGACTTCACCGTTTCTCAGGGCAAATCATATTTATTGACATTTTCAATAAACATACTACATATACATAGTACTGTTTGTGTGTGCTTGGGATTTTCAGGGTGTGGAGAGAAATAAAGGAAGAGTTGACACTGAAACTTGAAACACACATTTTATTAAATCTTGTTTGAAAACATTAGGAGAAAAACACGAAGCCACCAAAAGCATAAATGACAAACATGAAAACAGAAACTATTTGTCGAGTTAAGCTGCGTAGCACCCGAAAAACCAAAGCAAATGTCAAACCATTCCCACATAGTAAACAGCAGCTGACCATTATTAGGATTTCTCTCTTTTTAAATATATTCTCTCTGCATAATTCAGTAATATATTTGGCATTGCATATGTGTGGTATAAAAACAAAAAATTCACAAAATTACAACCTGTAATGCCTCAATACAGGCCACCGTGTGAGGTTAGATATATATATACAGATAGAATACTTTATTAGATCAATATACAGCAGACTGATACCCAGTACAATATAAAAATAACATGCGTCTCTAAATCACACACTGAACAGTCGTCATTTTTGCAGAAAATGTATAAAAGAAAGAGAATATAGAGTAAGAAAGTAAAAGAAAGCAGACACAGTAGTTTAAATTACGTGTTATAAAGCCTCACCTCACATTTTAAATAAGTGTCCCTTTTGTATAATCCAGTAAAATGTACAACAATGTTAATTGTGCTACAACAATTATGCTTGATTTGGCCTCAATGTTGTAAGCGATGCTTCGACACCGTGTGTGTGTGTGTGTGTGTGGCAAACTGAACTGTGGCACTATAAAGGCAAACTGAAAAGACTCTGAATGCAGATGAGTGATGAGGTGTGTTTAGAACGTAAGATTCAGCTTTAATGTCAATACAATCAGTCTTTAAAAATCAATGATACAGATGATGAGTGCAAACAGACTGAAGACTGTGAAGTCTGGTTCAGTGTGATCTGAGCTAAATGAATGCAAGTCACCAGCTGACCATTTGTAGCACTTTTTTTCTTGGCATGCACACATACACACTACTCACTGAGCTTTTATTTTGTTTTTTTACCTCCGTCACACACCAACAGTCAACGTACTGGTTTGTTGTGTGTTTAAAGGTAAACAACAGTAGCATGCAGTTTTAACGAAGGCACTGGCTCACACACAGGTGGTGTGTCTGTGTGTGTTTTCTAACTCGTCTTGATTGCTCATTACTTCGGTAAACTCTCTCTTGCTTCTTCCAGTTTGGAAAGAACCCACTGAAAAATAACGAGAAGCAAAGTGGAATCGTGAGTCGCACCACAGGGGGCTCTTATTATAATTACATTTATAAACAGGAGAACCTGAAGAGTTAAAAATTCTTACCGTGGCAATCTCAGACGTTTTGAAATTTATGATCTTTCCAAATTCCTTGGCGTGGAAGACTGATTTCACTCTTTCCTGTCAAACACAAGAGGAGTTTTTAGAACAGGACACAGCAACATTTCTTAAAAAACTATTTGGATTTCATTTTTAAGAGTCAACCTTGGCTTCGATGCGTAGTCGACGGCTCTCTACGATCATCGGCTCCTTGGTGAACTCCTCAAACAGATACTGCCACTCACAGGTAAATTGACCAAACGTGCCTTTAGTCACAAAAAATACTCCCCTGGAAAAGAAAAGAAAAGACATCAATAGTTGATTAAGAAACAAGAAGCTAAAAGCACACTGTTTTATTCAGTTTCTAGTGGTTAGTTACAGATGGATCATGACATGGGACAGGTACTGAAACATGTTAGAAATGGTTTGTCTGAAGTTATGGTGCGTTCCATTTGATCTCGGAAGTCGAAAATTCCAAGTTGGCAGTCTTAAGCCTGGCTCACACTGGACGATTTTCCCCCGATTGTATAAAAGTCGGGGTGTCATGTCAGCTCACGCTGTACGACTGAATCGTTTACGACGCCCGACCAGACCTTGAGATCGACGTGCTCACACTGTACGACCCGATTGTCGGGCACGGCCGGAGAACTCACACGGTACGAGTGAAATCAGGACGGAGCGTTGACAATTGTTAATAAAGTTTCATTTGAAAAAAACAAAGGACGACGGTCGGTGAAAGAGAAGGAAGTGGAAGTTGTAGGATATAGAAAAGTTGATACAATCGTAGATATATGGAGACAAGTTTCAGAAAAGTGCTGCACTGATGATCTGTACAGAAAAGTGAAAAAAAAAAAAAAAAGAAGACGTCTGGTTGCGTCCTGCTGCTGGTCGCCATGACTACAGTCCTCCTTTCTCTCTCGTGATTATATTGTAGTCACACACGACTTCTGCCGGACCCTTTCATTAAGCATGTTTGAAATAAATCGATGGCCGGGCAAATCGGGGACGTTAAGATTGGATCTTTGTACCGCTCACACTACGAGAGAATCTGAACAGAGAATCGGGTCCGAGCAGCCTCGAGTCGGGAGCGACCCTGAGATTGTTGAGAAGGAAGAATCGGAGCTCAAATCAGCCCGATTATCCTGCAGTGTGAGCCAGACTTCATACGTCATCAGGAAGGCTCCCTGAAGTCGGAATTCCATCTCGGAAACTCTCAGAAAATCCAACATGGCTGCTACGTCCATCAACAGTAGAGTTTAAGCTGTACACTATAAAGTTTACTGACAACTCAGTCTTGTTTTTGTGTAATTAAATGGATCACAACGATAGTGTTGTGAACGTTCTGTGGACATGTTAAGTTGCTTTCATGTGAATGTGTTGTTATCACCTGGAACAAGCTAACACAACACAGGTAGTCCTGGAGGCTTTAATGTAGCTCGTCCAACTTGTTGCCAAGTCGTTACCAGATAAGCTAACATCTAAATTCCGAGGTTAATTGAACGCACCATAAGCAGGCTGCTCAGCATCAAACAAGACAGAAATATATATCAAATATATATTATTAGATTTTCTGAACAGGTTTAGATTAAAGCCATAAAGTAAACATGTTCTGCGATACAAGGAGTAAACGAGAAAACTAAGAAAAGTCGTGCTCATCCAAAGCTAACTCAATCTTGATTAAGAAACAGCAACAAAAACAAACCCTCACCTTTTTGTGATCATGAGGAAGTCCGAGTCGTTGACCTTAGCGTGAGCAAAGTATCTGTACTTGGCAAAACGTCCATTCTCAATTTTCTGAGGAAAGAGAAGAAAAAGTGAAGAAGCAGCAAAAACTTAGAAACACCCGAGTGTCTGAATCAAAGTACAGTATGAACGTCAAGATGTGTATATCTCTTAATGACTGAGGAATAAGTGTGTATCAGCTGTACACACTGATGATGTCACCAAACTGAAATGATGAAAAATGAAAACGTGGTGAGTGAAGAGGAAAGAAAGGATGAAACAAAGACTGTGACGGGTAAACATTTTATTGTTGTAGGGGCAGTGATTGACAGAATGGGAAAACAAAGACATAATGATGAAGAAACAGAAACTTCATAAAAGGTGATGATGAGGATAGTAAATATGGAAAAGATTTCTCCTGTGGCTCAGGGGGGGGAAATAATAAAACGACAAGAGGAGTAATGGGTGAAAAGAGGAAAATAAATAAACAATAAATAAAGAAATCAAGTACATGAACAACTAAAAAAAAACATTTCTCAAACTCCTCTATTTGGTCGATCTTTCAAAAGAGTTTAATCTAAGGCAGAAGCACTTGAACACAGACTACGTTAAAGCTACTCTACATCCGTCAACGTCTAGCGTCTAAAAGCTTCACTCGTCATCAGCCTCATCCTGTGAGCCAGATCTACTCCACTCACTGTACGCCTTCCTCCTCTGTGGACATGAGAGAAGAGTCAAAGTCAGAGCCAGGAGATCCAAATGTTAGTGTCATTTCAATCTGAATGTCTTTCTCAAATCATCACAAACCTTTCACATCTCTAAAAACACCAGGTGTGAAGGCTCTCAGGTTTAACAACACATCTCCAAACAACAACTACAAACAATAAAGCTGTACTGGAAGTGAACTAACAGGGCTACACGATGAGGTACACTCAATTCACTCAAATTCAGCAGCTGAGATAGAAACACATATCTACCAGGATGTGTGGCTACATTATTCTTGCCGTTGGTCCTAATTAATGTCTAATAAGTCGACTAAATATCCAACGCTTTTACTGCCACATCTATCTACAGTGTGAGTCTAAAGCTTGGGGATACAGAGGGGTGACAGATTAAAGCAAAACTCTGAATATAGTAAGGAGTGAAAAACAAAATACCATACCTCTCGGCATACATCTGAGAGATGCTTCAAATAGAGTCCAAAAAGAGCCAGATGTTCTGCCCCTGCATCTTTTCTAAAGCCTCTTTCCCACATGCACATGTCGACTTCTTGCAGACTTATTACTATGGGGTTGGCAGGTTAAAGTCCAGATAATGTCACAAGCTGCTTTCAGGAGTTCAGTGCATTTGTGTGTGATGCTTTAATTTGTCACCTTTCTGTAAAACTGTCGGGAAAATCATCTAAAAAAAAAAAAAAAAAAATGGCATCTATCTTATTAGCCAGGATGTGCAGCTCTGACCTGTGACTCGTAAGCACAAACTTCCACCCAATCCATCAAGCCCGAGCGCTAAAACAATGTCCGCAGAGAAAAAAGTGACCCACAGTTTAAACTCGATGCTTCAATAAAGGAAAACTGAAACATACCAAGAACACTAAAATCTACAAACATGAGAAACCCATGACACACAGATTCTGAACCACATCCAGGTTAATGTGCTGATGAACAAGCAAATGACTAAATATGCAACGATCTGCAGTCGATCTGAAACAGGAGAGACCACTGCATTCTTCAACATCAGTAAAAGTGAAAAACGGATTCAAATAAACGTGAAAGAAGGGAAGATGATTGGCTGTATTCATGTGTCTGTAAACACATAAACATACAACTCCACAGGCAAACCTGGGCAAAATATGCTTCATTTAAATCTCTTTAAATCACAGAAATCACACAGAAAATGCAAAAAAAAAAAAAAGCATCATACTGAGTTTCCCCTCCTTCATTTCAGTTAAATTATGAATATTCATCAGTGCTTTTTTTTTTTGCCACAGTCCCACTATGGAGAGTATATTCATGTAACGGTCTTTGTCCTACCTGGAGCATCTGGCTGCCGAAGCCCTCCCTCTTCTTATATGGGCGTATGACACCGTCCTCGTGGATGAAGCGAGGAGGGCGAAGAGATTCAACGTCTTGTGAAGTCTCCGCTGCCCTAAAAATAAGACGAACAAGATATTTTAAGACTCGCCTTAAATGAAACCTTTTGTAACCTTTCTGCAGGCACACAATCTCTGACATTAACAAATCCAAAAACTAAACATTCTGAAGAGGTTTTTAACATTTATTTTGGGGCTTTTTTGGAGAGTGGATAGAGTCAAATCAGGGAGAGAGACAGAGTGGGGGAAAAGGAGCCGCAGGTCGGATTTGAACCCACGACTGCAGCCTCTGTACGTGGAATCCTAACCATTTGGCCAACAGCGCCCCAGATACTATCCGATTTAAACAACAGAATCTGTTATTTTTATGCACGATAGTAATGAAAGGTACAGAAACAAAGAGAAAAGAAAAGAGTTTCAAGTCCCTTTGGCATCTCATGAGGATGAAACAAGTTATAACAGTATGTGATACAGACAGACAAAGAGCAGAGGAGAGAGACAGCGACGCCCCCCTGGGTGCTGCGTTTTCTAATAATCCGAACTTGCAGACTGTTGACAGAGAGTTTCAAACCACTGCACAATAACCGACGCCCATGAAATGTCAGAAATAGCAAGAAAATCAGCAAAGAGGGCAAACAGAGAGCAGAATCTCTGCAGACATCTTTACACAACTCTTCTGGATTATCACTGCTTATCAGGAAGAAACTTCTTATTTTGGGGCCTTGACATTATTAGAGGTCAATCTGATTTATTATATCATTTATTACGGTTTACATTATGCCAAATGTTGGTATGTGTTAAATTACTATTTCTGTATGGGCAGTGTGTGCAGGTTGGAAATCAAAAACAAGAAAAAGACTTAACTTTGGATGCTCAGAAGTTTTTGTTGTGGTATCAAAACAGGTATGGGTGCCGTTTGACTTTTACTAGCACCTAACAAAGTTGAAACATTCTCCTACTACACCCACTGTAATACACACAAACAGATATGAACGTACCTTTTGATCCCTTGGAAAGTACTGCTGGCCATGTCGATTATGCCGCCCGTTGGTCTGGCGACTGCACCGACCAGACCTTTCCCAAAACCTTTAAAAAATCCAGCTGCACCCTCCTTCTGGGCTCCTGCAAAATGAAACATCATCAAATATCACTTGTATCACGTACAGTAGTATTGTATTTTCTTGGCCATTAAATATTCAAAACAGAACATGCAACATCTAAATGAAGTTACAAATCAACATACCTTTGATTGGTTTGGTGACAATCCCTGTTATCCCGCTGACAAATCCCTGAAAGCAAACACAACATTTCCAAACATTTACTCATAAAGAAGATTTTTTGGGTTGCAGACTAATCTTTAAGGCTTCTATGATACTACTGTAACAGAAAGTTTGGGTACATACAGACACTAATCCCTTTCCTCCCCTGGTCAGCCCCTCTCTCAGGCCGCTGGGTTGTTTGTTCATCGCCTCTCGTCTCTTCTGCTGGTATTCTTCGTCCATCGTTATGGCAGCGACGCCCTTTGCCATGGCGCCTGTGATCCTGGAGGCAGCGCCCGCTATACCACCTGGAAGGCACATATGAATGTTTACAGTCACAGCAGAACAGTCACTACATATTTTATGTTGCTCTATATGAGAAGGCAAAAGGCTGTTTGATTTCTTTAACACATTTATTTGGAGGTGAACTCAACATTTTGGTGCATTCAAGGGCCACAGGAAAAGTAAATACACAATCATAAAACTTTGTTTCCAAAGCGGAGACAGTTGTGGAATCGATGTCACATACATAGAATCTCAGAATAAAACGATTTTAAATGAAGCAATGGTCTGAAAAGAAAGAATTCAGACACATTTTCACAGGTTTATTGTTCCTACGAGCCGGTACTCACCTACAGCTCCTCCCACCAGAGCCTTCACGCCCAGAGCCATTCCCTCAACAAACTCCTCAGGCCCCTGGATGGCTCCCTGGAAACCCCCAAAATAACAGTAAAACAAGATGAAGACATGAAGTCTGGACTGTCAGGGTTTAAAACAGTCACACTGCTACTGTTTTCACACATTTCCTGATGACATTCTCTAAAGTCCTTCACAATATTTAAAGGTCACATATTATCCTCCTTTTCAACAAGTTTAAATAAGTCTCAGAGCTCCCCAAAAACATGTCTGTGAAGTGTCTTGTTCTTAATCCACTCTGATCCTGTATTTGACCACGCCCCCTCTCTGGAAGGGCTCGGGTCGGCTCGGTCTTTATCGCTCCATGTCCTATTGTTTACAGTGAGAAGGCAGACTCAGAGGGCAGAACAAACACCTAGCTGTAGGAGTGTCACCCACCTGGGGGAGGGGCTACTGCCCTTTGTGATGTCACTAAGGGAAAATCTCTAAACGGCCTGTTTGAGCACACATTTTCTGAAAAGTGGAGAGGATGGACTTTTCTCTTTATTGGGGGATTTGCAGACAGACTAGGGACACATTAGTGTTAGAAAAACATGTTGAAGTGGATTTTGTAAAGTATGTGACCTTTAAAGTGTATCACATAGAAGACACGCTTATACATTCAAGCACTCATCCTTCGCTTTTATTAAAATGCTACCTGATAAGGCTCATAGAAAAAGGCTTCCACTCCTTCTGACAGCCCTCTGATCAGTCCAAAAGGGTTTCCAAGAACGTCCAGGCCCAGAACCAAAACATACATCTGTTTAATAGCCTGAAATATGGACACAATAAGTAGAAACAGGTAAGAGGACTTGTGGCCAACCCATATCTTTCTGCTGCATTTTTCATACTTAAATACCGAGGCTTTGTATGTGCATGTGGGTGAATGTGGGTTACCTGCTTTGAGTAATGCCTGATGACCTCCCACTGCAGCTGCTGGGTTGTACAAAACTGGAAGGTCAACTCAAAGAAGGCCAGCCTGAAATACACAGCAGAATAATAAAAAGTGCTGCAGTGTTTGGTTTACAGTGCGTGTTTGAAGACGTGCATGCGTGCTTACTTGAAGACAACGTCCTGCACATCGGTGAGTGTGGCGCCGATACTCTTCAGCAGCAGGTTGAGCGACTGGACAGGAATGAGCTCTTTGTCTCTCTTCTCCTTCATGCCGTCTTCTCCTCCAGAACTCAAAGAGAAACTCAGATGAAGCTGCAAAACAAAAAAAAAACCGACTTGATAATGAGTTCCTGATTATATTATCACCTACATAAAGTACATCCTGTATGGTGCACTGACCTTGATGGGTGAAATGTGGAAGTACTCATAGAGGCTGACTGGAGAGTTGTCTGCAGCAGAGACGTGGTTCAGTTCTGTTTTGATGTACTCTATGTCCTTCTCAAACAGTTCCACCTGCAGGAATCAGACAAATACATGCACACAGAGATATGAATGAACGAGGTTAAGGTGCATCTCATGGCCTTTAAAGTCACTACATTTTAGATCTATGTGTCACAGGCTTAGCGGTGGAGTCTGACCTCCTGCTCTGAGCTGGTGGTGCTGGCATACTCAGCTGTGAACAGGTCCAGGATGGCATACAGGAAGCCAAGATCCAGCTTCAGATCCATCTCCTGAATCAACACCTTGAAGTACCTGAGGAAGAATACCAAAGCAAGCTATTGTCAACATACTGATTTGTATAAATACGAGGGATTTGAAATGGCACACCTTGAGGTAAGCCTCCAAATAGCAATAATTCAAGACGTAACAAACTATTTTTAAAGATTAAAAACAGCATAAAAGCAGATTAATGAAGCCACAAACTGTAATGTGATGATAAACTGATAGAAAGAAAATCTATTGATGACTGTTTTGATAACTGCTTGATTGTTTAAGTCATTTTTCAAAGAGGATTATTGAAGCATTGGTAAATTACATCTTTTTAAATATAATTCTGTTTCTGCTTGTGTAAAATGGTACTCAGATAAAATCTCTTATTCAACAAAATAAAATATTTGAAGACCTAACTTTGGGCTTTGGGAAGCTGTGTATTTAGTTCATTTAATTTTAAAAATATTGTGGAAACAATGTTCAATCTGTTGATTAATTGATAATGTAATTTGAAATGTTTTTTCTAGGAATCACACGGCTGCATTTGGCTGAACTATTAAAAAACAAATGCTCTTCAGACTAATAGAACAGTAGCGAACTAATCAAAATTAGATTCCCAGTATTTCTGTGCCTGCTAAAATGAGAAAAAAAATATATTTAGAGAAAGGGAAAAGAGCAAATAACTCTGCTTCACAACAAACAAATCCAGTCCAGAGACACTGGAGGACGCTTAAGGGAAACAAAGTGGGAAAACAATCAAATGGAAAAAGGATTACTTGATGCGTGAGATGTCAGAGTGCCCTGCTGTCCTCGTTACAATGCTGATGTCTGTTAGAGGTTTGGGTTCTAAAAGACAAATACACATGAAATCAAATTACTGACTCAAACCCAGCATACTCACAGTACATGTAAAGGTAAATTAAAGACATCGCTCTGTACAAGCTGGACTAACAGACCTGAATCCATGGTGATGGATTTTGGCAGTTTTACAGGATAGAACACGTAGGGGAATATCGCTCCTGGCAGCTGATTCTGGATCTGTAGGAGGAGAGGACGTATACTTCAGAGCCAGTAAAGAATTATAAAAACAAAAACATACATTAAGAAACTAATGCAGAGCAAAGCATTTAGGAGGGCCTTTAGTGGAATACCCTGAAGAATAGATTAGATCTTAGAGGAAGTAAAGATTAATTTTTGCATCTAACGGTCAGATATTTTGTTCAAATGGGACTGATTCTCACCTGAATACGGTGAATCTGTACACGGTAGGCGCTCTGTCGAGCTGAGACGCTGTACTCCACTTTCACCCCGGGCAAGAAGTGCCTCCTGAGAGGAGCATCACACGGCTCCAGCATCCGCATATCCATGCCGTTTGGAGTGAAAATCACCTGGAACACAATCACAAACACAACAATGTTGAAATACTTCGATCTGCAATTTAAGGTCTTTTATAGCTTTTTTACTCCTTTATTATTTAGAGACAACATAGTGGATAGAGTCAGAAATAGGGGAGAGAGAGTGGGGAATGAAATGCGGGGAAAGCAGC